GCCAGAGGGCCCCGGTTCGGATCCCACATATGAGGGCCAGTGACACTGCCCTCCACAGCTAAGACGCTGAACGACAGCTCGACCTGGAGCTGGACTGCCGTGAGTTGCCGGCAAAGGCGTAGGCTGCAGTCCCTGTGGCAGTGGGTTGCCACGGGCTACCGTGCGTAGCCAGCAGCCAGCGTGAGCAGCCAGCAGCCACAGTGAGCGGCCATCCAGAAGCCGGTGACTGATCTGCCTCGCCAGAGAAGAGCGCAATGATGGTGCCCACTTGGGCCAGTGAAACAACGTCCTCCACAACTAGACTGAAGAACAAAAAGGATAGCAACTTGTCTGTTCTCCTTCCCCCAATTCCCCAGCACTGTTCCCATCTCCCCAATTCCCCAATAAAAATCTTAAAAAAAAAAAACTATATTAAAAGTGCATCGGGCCAGGTTGAAAAAGTCATCAATAATTCCCTGAAAGGAAACAGAGTGAGTAGTCCAATGATTTGGTGGGTACAACTATATACCTTATGACTTACCGCCCCATTTGTAATTGTATATGTTAGAAAAGTGCTACATTGGGTAGATGGACTTATTCACTTTTTTTGTGCCAATCCTCCCCAATTACACTGTAAAATCACTGTGGGAAAGGATCACATCTAAACCCTTTTGCAATCAAAGACTGATACAGAATAAGGGACTTAGTGATTATTTACTGATAAAAGCATCTCTAACATAAATGTTTCCAAAATAGTGATAAATAGCCTCCTTTCCGTACACTGATATAGAAAAAGGAGGAACGAATGATCTTCGGAGAATAATACCACAGGCCCTAAACATCATGTCTGGAGAATAAAAATGGCTCCCTATGGCCTCGTTTTCTTTTAGTGCTTCAGATACCATACTTTTCCCATCAGACAGATATGCCACTGAAGGTCCAGAAATACGCCTTCTCTAGAAGCTAAGAAACCAATATTTTTTAACACTAGCCACCTTCCTCCAATTCCCCGCTCCTGATATGGCCTTTACCTTCCACAGGGTTGGTTTTCAGTCTACTGCAGAGACTCATTACACCTCCATAGTGGGCATTGATCTGGTTCATTGCATCAGTCGAACGCAGCTCCATGAGCTTCCTCAGCTCCATGACTGTGCAGCCAAAGTCCCCTTCATGGCTCTCAACCATCGAGTTGGCCGGAAAGGCATGTTCTCTTGGGTTCGTCATTTTGACTGCTGTAACCAATCCCCTCAACCAGAGAAAATGTGGAGTTTCCCTTCAACTGATCAGGGTCTCTTGCCTCTCTGACTCACCTCTGGCTTCTCTGGGAGCCCAGTTAGGAAACTGATTGACTGTATCTGTACAACAAGCTTCACAGCCTCTAGCCCAGATCCTTTTTCCTGTATGAAGCTTGACAGTGAGAAGAGGAAGATGGGGGAACTGAGTGGAAGCCGGACCACGTGTCACGATGATTGGTGTCCCCAGGTGGTGATGGAAGTGGTTGTCCAGGGTAGGTAGGTTCCTAGTTTAGACCAACTTGCTCAGATGGAGATGTAAACAGGATGTGCATGTTACCATGGAGGCAACCTTAGCAACAACCAGCAACTGCAGTGGTAGAGAGGCAGCAGGAGAAGGAGGGCTCCCTGGATACCAATGACAACTGGATCTCTGAAATAAAGATTCAAAGATAGACAAAAAGAAACAATTAGAGCAGCCATGGTGATTCAGCACCTGCAAAGGCAAGAGATACTCATTCTAGCACAAGGTTTAGGTAATAGCTGGTGCCTTCTCTGAACTGATAGCTGAGGCCTGAGCTGAGTGAACTAACTCAGGAGGACCCCCTTCTTCCCTGGGAGGACCCAGAAAAATCCAAGGTAGAAAAGTAATTTTACATATCCCCCAGTCTTCATATCTTGCCTCTCCCAGACCAAGCAACACAAATCCCACAACTTCAGATGCTTGAATTAAAAAGTTATGACCTCGGTTCGAGTCCTGGCCCGAGCTGATGCCAACAGGTGGCAGGATGGCTCAGCTAAAAAAAAAAAAAAAAAAGTTATGACCTCTAATGGCTCTCTAATGCTCTCTCTCTCTATTGTTTGTGGGACCTGCTACAGAATCCTTTCATCTGACCTCACTTCTGATGAGATCAGAAAAGGGAGTCCAGACCTGAGTGATCTGGAGGGTGGCCTGCCAATCTGCCACCTTCCCCCATGCCCCATACCCTTCCCTATCCCAACACACACATTTATGAAACAAGATGAGAACCTGATGGAAGATGTCCAAGTCCTCTGAGGCCCCTTAGAATATTCAGCCTCCACCTGTACAGAAATTCTGCAGCTTGCTGCAGTTGCCAACAAGTCAGACATTGAAGTTCAGGTCTTGGAGCTAAGCCCCAACCTTCTCCAAAAAGGTTTCGTAGAGGGAAGGGGAGAATAAAATGCTCTGGCAGTTGTCAAAACAGGGTGGAGCCTTTTTACGTAAGGGGGCAGAAGGACCTCTGAGGAGGAAAGATAGTGAGTCTGAAGCCTATGAACATTGAAGTTTCTCCGGGATGGCAGGGATAAGACAGCTTTCCATTCAGATAGAGCCTAGGGCCACAAGGTCAGCAGGGGGACAAAGTTAGCCTCTGCATGAGTAAGCACCAGAAGGTCTCCAATCAGCTTTCCTCCCCTCAGAAAGGTACATGTTACCTCTCATGCATGCAGACTGAGGTGGAGGGGTGGAGGTATGTGTAGGTGAGGGTATGGAGGGCTGAAGGTGGGAAGGAGGTTTATCCTGAGCCCTGTTCTCAGCTTCAGAGAGGGGCCGCTGTGTGTCATGCGGGAAACATTGCCACACATCAGCCATTTATATGTGAAAGGGCTCTTCTTTAGTGCAGCACCAGAACATTGGAGGCTCAGCCCTGGTCAACCTATCTTTAATAAATAGGTGATATCCTCACTTCTAGAAGGTGAACAAAGAAGCACAGAACCATTAGATGAGGACTTGACTCTTTTATCAATTACTTTTCCAAAAATCACATGTAGCCAAAGTTCCTGCTGATTCCAATCAAACCTGTTCTCCGCAGGTTCCCCTGGGACGGAGGTGGTTCCACACCTCCTCTCCCAATGTGCCCTCTGACTCCTTCTTCTACCATAGATTTTTAGAGCTACTTACAAAATGTTAAGCAAGCAGGTTTTTGTTTTTGTTTTTTAATATCGCACTCCCTTTCTTTTCCGATGTCATCAGTAAATCCTGGGGAACAAAGGAGGTTTGGAAAAAAACTGATGCAGAGTGTCAAACTCCCTTCACTCAGACTGGCACAGAGATAGGCAGTACCACAGAGTTTTCTCTCAGGTTCAGCTTTTCCTCCAAGCCGGGAAGCAGTGCGAAGGGCTATAGAAGCCAATCGTGACCCTTACATAGCACTCCTTAAGCTTTTGAGGGGATGTTGCAAACAGTGCTGATAGAGTGCTGAACTGGAAATCAGATTTTATTGTTTCTGTCTCCACCCACCGCAATGTTTGCTCCACGAAGGCAGAGATTTTCATTCGTCTTGTTGATTGCTTTATCCCCAGTGCCTAGAGGAGAACCTGCACGTGGTGGGCATTCAGGTAAATTTTTTGTTGAATAACCAATAGCAGATTCAGAACCAGATTTACCCAGGCACCCTTTGGGTAAGTCATGAAAGTTCTTCTGGGATTTGGAGGTGTAGTAGGTGCCCGTATTTCTCTTGCAGCTCTGAGCTCTTAGAATATGAGCTCACTGCAACTGCTGAGCTTGCCTAGACCCTAACCTTATTAGGCAACTGGCAAAGAATAATCTGTAAGTGCTCACACTGCCTCAGCCTCAGACACATCGCTCAGGCGCCTGGGAAGTACCACCTCTTATCAGGTCAGGATTAATAATTTGGCTCTGGGCATTCTCGCTCTCCATGTCTAGCATTTTGCAAGGCAAAGGGATGATAGGATGGAAGAGGAAACTTTCTCATCACTTCCTGCAGGGGCAAGAAGTCATATTACTTTCTATGATCAGTAGAGCGGCCTCTGATTCCCTGCCCTGCCCTCTTCACTGGGCTGAGAGCCTGTGCTCAGGAGCAAGGTAGTGGCACTCAGAGATGCTCAGGTTAGAGTGCCAACATCACTGCCATGCAGGCTGAGGGGTAAAGAAGGGAAGACCTGCGGGGGTGAGAGCAGGCTGGTCCCACCTTAGAATGCACCAAATTGAAATGTGAAACCTGCTTCAGCCCACACCCCCCCAAAAGACCTTTTCTCTTTTCTCTGATCCTCTTTCCCTCATCCCAAATGAGGCTCTATTTCTCCCTATTTTCAGGAGTGAAGCAAGGGAGGGAAATAATATTTGTTGAGCACCAACAATGAACCAGGTACCGTACTAGGCACTTTATGTGAAAATAAGAGAGAAATCATATATATGTATGTGTGTGTGTACACACACGTATTATAGTGGGTCGTCGGGAAAGTCATGACGTATTTTTCTATGTTTTTCAATGCAAAAATGCGTCATGACTTTCCCGACGACCCAATATAGTTCCTAGCACAGAGTGGCTGATATATAGTGGTTGGTCCATATACCGTAGCTACTATCATCATGACATATATTGTTTCACTAGATCCTCACCAACAACTCTATAAGGAGGGCACCTCATTTCATAGCAGGGAAATATAGATTCAGAGAGCCAAAATTTGTGCCCTAGTCTGAATTAAAAGCCACCTTGTCTCAAGTATAATACAAGCACACTTCTTTAAGAAATTGGAAACAAAGCTATGGATTTACTGCCTAAAACTTGATGAAAAAGTCCATAAAAATCTATCTGTCCCTTGCCCATGACCCCTAAAAGCTATGAAACAGGTCTGGAAAACACCTCCTTATCACTTGGAACTTTCTGTGCAGGTTCAGGGATAGATGCAGGGCTTATCTGGGGCAGAAAGGTCTCACCAACCCCCAGCCAGAATGCACTTGGCTCTGAATTGGCATGATTCTAAGCATATCCAATTTCCACCTGGAGATCCTGGGAGTGGGGATGAGGCCTTCTTCCACTCTATAATCTCACACCCTGGGCCTTGCAACCCTAGTGACTTGGGAGAGGCACAGAGAGATCCTGCTCTCAACTGTCTCTCTCCTTTCTCCAGCAGGGGCATTTCCTGTGGCATTACCTACAGTGTCTTAAGCTTAACTGCTTCTCTCAGGCACTCCTGTGCTTCTCTGAGGACCCTGCCCTGTCAAGAAACTGGCAAGCACTTCAACATGCAGGCTGCCTAGCCTGAAATATCCGTGGCTGGCTCTTCTCTCTGAAGGTCTAAACTCCACACAGAGGCTGCTCTGCTCCCTCCTCATCACAGGCCCCCTTATTTCTGTGACCCAGATTCTTGCCCAGCCTCGCCCGTTCCCACCACTCAGGTCTGGTGGCCATCCTCATCATGTTCTCAGATTTTCCTTCCCTCTTCATGCCTGCCTGCCCTAATTGCGCCTCTAATGCCTGCTGGCTTGCAGAAATAGACCTGAGCACATACCCTCCCCTTCAGACTACTGAGGTTCTTTGGAGGCATGTGGGAAGGTCAGGGACAGAGCACGTTGGGTCAAGTTCAGGTGGTGGGTAGCACTGCCTGTCATCATCAGCAATAGCCAGGCCCATGCCAGGAAGCCAAGAGAGGGCTGGGGCACAAAAACCAGGCCTCTGCACTGACCATAGGATGGCACACTGTGGCCTGTGGGCCTGGGCCTGGGCCAGGAACCTGATGCTAATTCTCAGCCCTTCCTGAAGAAAAGAACATCACTTCCTGGTTAAGAGGTGGTACACGCACGCGCGTGCGCACACACATGCCTCCTTCGCCTACCCTCCCCCTACACAAGTCTGCTACACTGAAAGCATCTTCAATTCAAGAGCAAAAATATATAGTGCTAAACTCAAAGCATCTGTCTGGAGAAAATGTGTCACTCTCGACCCCTGGGTCTCAGGGACCCAGAAATTCATCCCTTCTCCCCAGAGCTACCTGGTACTTCTTGGCCAAGCTAAGTCTATGCATACCCAGGACCCTGTCATTTACTCCTGGGTGCATCTTCCAAAGAAATTCTCACACAGGTCCAGAAGGAACATTGTAGTGACAGGAAGTTGAAGGCCACCTGGGATCCCCTCTCTCCTTCTCCCAGTGATGGATGGGAGCTAAAATATGCAAGCTAGATAACAGGAGATATTATGAGACAGTTAGAAATACAGATCAGGTGTACACAAGGCAATATTTGATCTTAAAAAAAGTGCTTACAGATAACAGTTTAGTGGTTACCAGAGGGTATGGGGGGAAGGGGTGGTAAGCACACAATGTGATATATAGATGATATATTATAGAAATGTACACTTGAAACCTATGTGATTTGACTAACTACTGTCACCCCAATAAATTTAATTAAAAAAACAACAACAGTGCTTGGTGTGGGGGGAAAGGTGCTGTAACAGCTTTCGCACAAATTAAAAACACATGTGTCTAAAGCAATTCTATCTATTTTAAAAGGCACATTTAAACAAAAAGATACATCTTATCACATTAGAATGCTGCTCATAGGCAAGGAAGGGAACAGATGTGGTATATGGGGAACCATCGTACATAGGAAGGGCCTTGCAAGGTCCAGTGATAATAATGGGCCATAGTTTGACTGACTCAGTACTCTGCACC